CCCTCCCCAAATTAAAGATTATAAACAACGCCCCCTATTTTTAATTAAAAAATGCTCGAGTGGAGCCCACCGATCCCATAAAAAGTACAGATTCTCAGTCTCACGTCCTAGCTAAGGTGTTATCTCGAAGTGGGTTGCTTGTTTCGGCTCTACATCACCAAATCTTCAATTTTCCAAAAATTTAAAATCGAGGTATTTCGACTTAGTTTTTGTTAAAACTCATATAAAAAATTCATATTAGTTATTTTTAATGTGTTCTATGTTGTTTTGTGATTATTTTGCGATTTAACTAATTTGTTATTTTTATCCGGACTATAGTATTAGTGTGCTAAAAAATTAGTAAAAATAGAGAAATTATTATTAGTTGTTAAAACAATATTAATTAGTTACTTTTTACTGTGGTATATGTATTTTCGTGAATGTGTTGTGATTAAATTTATTTTTTGTTTTTATCCGATTTAGATTATTTATTTGCTTAAAGACTAGTAAAATATATAAATTATTACTTTAGTTCCCTCTAGTGGTATCTTGTGGCCTAATGTAGTGCTTGTATTTGTAATGTAGTGCCCTTTTAGCATAGTAAAATGCAGTGCCCATTAGCGTAGTATCCTTGTAGTTATTAAAATTAATCATTTAAGTATCTCTTATACTCAAAAATAAGTCAAAAAGCTGATAGTTCAAACATAAACTATGTCCAATTCTAGTCAACGATTGTAAGAAAATAACATGAGAAAATAATAATATTTCCCGGACTAAGTATTGTTATATGAATATTTAATAATTAAATCCTGTATAGTTATTAAAATTAATTATTTAATTTTTTATAGCCAAAAATAAGTGAATCATAAACAAAAATATATAATAATAAAACTAACATATAAAATAATAAAACTAAGATATATATATTAATAAAACTAACATATACAATATTAAACTAACATATAAATAATAAACTAATATTTAAAATAACAAACCTATTGAGTGATAAATCGAAAAAAGTTTCTCATCATGAACACAAGAATTCTGTATACCTTGGTGTTACTAGGCCTCAAATATCGAGCCTGGAACCCATATGTGAATATTTAATAATTAAATATTATGTAATTATAAAAATTAATTATTTAATTTTATTATAATAAAAAATAGGTGAGTAACATACAAACATAAAAAAATAATAAAACTAACATATTTGTCTCGACCCAATTTCGCCTATAGGTCGTGATGGCGCCCAACACTATAGCTAGGCAAGCCAACTAATTAGTTAATTGTACATTGGTTAAACTTTTATTCCAAAAAAATAATAAATACCAACTTCTACCAATGTGTGTGCCAAGACCCGGTGTCACAAGTGCATGAGCATCTAGTAGATTATACAAAACTCCAAATACTGTCTGAATTGAAATAGACAGAATATAAATATAAGAAGAGACACTGGTAGCTGCAGAACGGCTCAGAAAGGCAGCTCACCACTATGCCTCGGGATGACGTGGGTATGTGATGATAGGTCCTCCACTAGTGCCTGTCTTATATCCTGCACAAAAAGTGCAGCAAGTGTAGTATGAGTACGTAAACAACGTGTACCCAGTAAGTATCAAGCCTAATCTCGAAGTGGTAGAGACGAGATGGCCGACTTTGACACTCACTATGGGTCAATAATAACTGAAATAAAACTAGGATATTTAAATCAGCATGATTTACAGAATTTACAATAATTTATTTAATCAGCAGAAATAATCAAATTCCTTCAAATGTAACAATTCTCAATATATTAATTAAATTCCTTCAATTCAAATAATTTCCAATTTATCAATTAAATCTCATTTACAGGAGTAACAATTAATTCCTTAACAAGCAAGAATAATAATTCATTAAATTCCAAGGATTTTCCAATTTATTAATTAGCTTCACAAGCTGAAATAAATTATTAAAGTATCGTGTAATTATTATTATTAATCACGATTTTTGCCGAGGACGTACGACCCGATCCAGAGTGTCGTGTACACTGCCGAGGGACGTGCGGCGCGATCCATAGATGCATCTATCCTGCCGAGGCGTTCGGCCCGCTCCACAAGAAAGGATGACATTTTCTTATGAATAATAAAATTTGGGAGGAGAACAATTTCTTTTAACAATTAATTGATTTTAAAAAAATTAAACATATGAAAATTTCATATTTTTCTACTTTTCATGACAATTCACAATATATACATCAATTATTTTAATTAATAAAGAATACAATTCACACAAGTAATTCATGCTTTGAGTCTTAAACTACCCGTACTTTAGCATTAATAGTAGCTACGCACGGACACTTGTCACCTCGTGCGTACGTAGCCCCCGCTATTAGCAACAATTATTTAATTTTAATCACCTATGAGGTAATTTCCCCCTCACAAGATTAGACAAGAGACTTACCTCGTCTTGCTCAAATTTTATCCACTATAAGGCCTTTTCCATGATTATCCAACTCCATCTGGCTTGAATCTAGCCAAAATAATTCGATACAATCACCAAATATTATAGGAATCAATTCAGTAAGAAAATACCATATTTTTAAAGAAAAGATCCCGAAATTAATTAAAAATTTGCCCGCGGGGCCCACATCTCGGAATCTCACAAAAGTTATGAAATCCGACAACCCATTCAATTACGAGTCCAACCATACCAGTTTCACTCAAATCCGACTCCAAATCGATACCGAAATCTCAAAAATTCGTTTCTATGAGATTTCTAAAAATTTCCCAAATTTAAATCTCAACACACTAATTTATGGTGAAAACAATGATATACTTGTATATGTAGACCAAATTCGAGTTAGAATCACTTACCCCAATGTTTTTTCCTTGAAAATTTGCCAAAAGTCGCCTCTGCTCAAGCTCAAGTTCGTCAAAAATGGCAAATGGGATGGATGCCCTCTTTTTATAAAACTGCCCAGTAGCCTTCGGAACTGGTCCTCGAACTAGGCCTCGATCGCGGCTTCGATCACAGACTCGAGCCTGGACCTCGGTCATGGCCTCGATCAGGGCATCGAGGTTGGGCCTTCGATCAGCACATCGAGGTTGGGCCTTCGATCAGGGCATTGAGCATGACTTCGATCAGGGCATCAAGCATGTGCCTTCGATTAGAGCATCGAGCATGGGCCTTCGATCAGGGCATCGAGCATGGGTCTCGATCCTAGACATCGAGCCTTACCTTTGATCATGTTCTCGAGCTGGACCTTCGATCGTGGTTTTGATCTCAAGCTCGAGGCTGAGCCTCATCAACCCTGGGCTCGATACCTGGGCTCGATATCAACACAGAATATCCAACAGAAGAGGAAACACTGCAGCAGCTTTTAAGTCCAATTGTTGATCCGTTAACTATCTGAAACTCACCCGAGGCCCTCGGGACATCAACCAAATATACCAACAAGTCCTAAAACATCATACAAACTTAGTCAAACCTCTAAATCACATCAAACAACGCTAAAACCATGAATCATACCCCAATTCAAGCTTAGTGAAACTAAGAGTTTTCAACTTCTACATTAGATATCGGAACCTATCAAATCAACTCCGATTGACCTCAAATTTTACACACAAGTCATAAATTACATAGCAGAGCAATGAAAATTTCCGGAACTAGATTCCGACTCCGGTATCAAAAAGTCAACTCATCGGTCAAACTTCCAAACTTAAATTCTTGCTTTTAGCCATTTCATGCCTAATTTAACTACGGACTTCCAAATAAAATTCCGAATACGCTCCTAAGTCCAAAATCACCATACGGAGCTGTTGGAATCATCAAAATTCTATTCCGGGATTGTTTTTACATAATTAGATATCCGGTCTCTATTCGAACTTAAATATTTTAATTTTTCTTCAAAATTCCATATCTCGGAAGGGACCTCAGAATTTGATTACGGGCATACGCCCAAGTTCCAAATCACGATACGGACCTATCGGAACTGTCAAAACACTGATCCGAGTCCGTTTTCTCAAAATGTTGGCAAAAGTCAACTCAATTGAGTTTTAAAGCTCTAATCCACATTTTAAATCCATTTTCCACATAAAGACTTTCCATGAAATTTTACGGATTGCGCACGCAAGTCTAGGAATGATAAATAGTACTTTTCGAGGTCTTAGAACACATAATTAATTATTAAATTTAAATATGACATTTTGGGTCATCACAATATTAAAGTAAAATAATATAATTAATATTTTTCAATTTACAGTAGCCGACATGGAGGTTCCGCCTTTCCATCCCGGACCTACCACGCTAGAGCTACTGTTGCTACAAGGCGAGCATAGGTCGTCTTACATATGGGAGGGACAATTACTGGCCCAGATGTTCCCCGCCAGGAGAGTAGACGATATGTGGGACTTTCTTAGGGCCCATCCTCTCCATCCCTGTATAGTCAGACGCCTCCAGGATACGGGTTTTTATAGGATTGTAGAGATCGGCCGGCTGCAGCTGGATTGGTCATTGATCACGGCCCTAATAGAGCGGTGGCGGCCGGAGAAGCACACATTCCATTTGTCCATTGGCGAGGCCACTATCACACTTCAGGACGTGGAGGTCCTGTATGGGCTGCCCGTTGATGGACACCCTGTTGCTTTGCAGAATGCCATCAGAGACTATATGGGTTTGCAGTACCTGGAGATGCTGCAGCGGCTCACCGGTTTCCAACCACCGGATAAGACTGCATTGATTGGGGCTAGTCGTTTGCAGTTGACGCCCGTCCGGCAGTATTTGGAGGCGATGCACGCTGACATCACAGATGATACACCGGAGCTTCATATTCATCGGTACATGAGGTTGTTGTTGCTGTAGCTTATGTTTGGAGGGGTTTTGTTCCCGAACACTTTGGGGAACCTAGTCAGCTTGAGATTTCTTCATAATCTCGAGCGGTTAGATGATTTACATCATTACAGCTGGGGTGCTGTTGTTCTTGGTTACTTGTACAGGCAGATGTGCCTGGCGAGCATGGGCACCCAGCGAGACGTTGCAGGATTTTTGCCGCTGCTGCAGGTGAAAACATAGTTGAATACTCTCTTCATTATAACATACCTAGTAAAAATATACCTTAAATTTTACGTCCACGTTGTATATTAGGTTTGGGACTAGGTGCGGTTCTTGCAGTTGCAGCCACCTCTACCACCCTTAGCACCGGATGCACCACTTCCGTTTCTCCCTTTAGCTAGGAAGTGGGTTGGTAGGGGAGCATATGGACGAGAGTATGAGGCTCGACATAATCATCCCTATTGCAGGGATTTGTTGGATTTGCTGGAGGGCGCACAGGTAAATGTATAGATAAGTTTACATGGCCTGGCTTTATATGTATTGCATATACTCACATTTCCTGTTTTTACTTAATTGTTCATTTGGAGGCCATACATAGACGAGCTAATAGCCGGTTTTCCCGATTATTGCTCGACCGACCGAATTATATAGAGCTCTTTTGTCCCGTTGATGTGTCTCGACATTGTCGAGCATTATGCCACCGAGCGAGTACTTCGCTAGTTTGGTCACCCATAGCTTGTACCGCCACTGCCCGCTTGGCATATGACACATTACCAGCGGGATGATCGTTCCAGGGTGGACCAGACATATGTGGCATAGCTAGAGGGGCAGATCGATACTTGGGACCAGCGACATGACCTGATTC